ATACTTTTGACAATGCATGCTGAATGATGTCACAAGTTTTAAGTTTTGTTGAGTCAACACAATCTTATCTCCTGGATTTTTTCCCTGTGTAAGAGCAGAGAACAATGGAGCCAGTTTAGAGGTGGTTAGTCCCATATAGGGACGAGCCCAATTAATTGATCCTAAATATTGTTGAAGTTGGACTAAGGTCGGGCATAGCGGAAGACACAACTTAGACAGCTGAGGCTCGGCGTGTGAGGCCAAAAGCTGGTGGCCCAAATACAGACAGGGGTGTTTAAGCTGAATTTTTTCAGGCTAAATAAAAAACCCATTTGTTTGAAAAATGGAGGTTAAAACAGGCAAGGTTGCTGAGACCGTACCTGAGGGCCCTGGAGCTGCCACTAAAATATCATCCATATAATGGTAAATTTTAAAATGAGGAAACTTGTCCTGATATGGTCTTAAAACCTGATTGACAACATATTGACACATTGTAGGACTATTTAGCATCCCTTGAGGCAAGACGGTCCATTGATATCTGGCCGTGGGCTTAGAGTTATTCATTTCGGGCACCGTAAAGGCAAATAAGTGTTTGTCCTCTGGGTGTAGAGGAATAGAAAAAGATGCATCTTTTAAATCTATAATCATCAGGTCATAGTCTTTTGGTATCAAATTAGGATTAGGTAAACCACATTGGAGCGCCCCCATGGGGCGAATGATCTTATTGACGATTCTTAAATCGTGCAAAAATCTCCATTTTCCAGATTTTTTCTTTATGACAAACACCAGAGTATTATAAGGACTCAATGAGGGTTCAATGCGTTTTAACTATAACTGCTGATCTACCAATTGCACCAAAGCGGTTAATTTTTCTTTGGTTAATGGCCACTGGTCCACCCAAACTGGGGTGTCAGTCAAGAGGTTTAACTTTATTAACTGAGACATCTTAGTCCAAAATTAATTTTGCATTGAACTGACTCATCAAGTCCTGACCCCACAGATTAATATGAAGTGGAAGAATGACAGGTTTGATGTGAGCAATGACTGATGTTTCTTCCGAGGTCACGGGAAGCCAGTGTTTGCTCACGCATGCGTGCTGGACTCCTCCCACTCCCCGAACCGACGGTGAGCTGTCGGTCTGCCACTCAGAGGGCCACTCCTCCTCTCTTATGACCGATACGTCAGCTCCGGTATCTAAAATACCAAAAAAGGAGCGTCCGTTGACTTGAAAGGCCATAGAGGGGCAGAACTTTTGAATTTCTTGCTCAATGGCCAAAACTTGCGGTTGTCGGGGTATAGGGATGGCAGTTGCCACCACCGTTCCCTCGAGCATAGTCATGGGAGTGTTAGGGGTAAATGCCAAAGCGACTGATGTAAAGTCAGCTGAGTCTTTCAAAAATGGCATAGCAGTTACTCCCTGCATAATAAGGTCATGGTGAGGAAACACTAACAGAGGGGTGTCACAATCAGGGGGAAAGGGGACAGACGGCCGGATTGGCAAAAAATACGACAGCCCAGATAAGCCCGTGGTTATTGTCTCGGAGGCCACCAGGACAAAATGATAAGATTCAGCCTTTGAGGCGGGGCTAGCTGAATGCCCCAGCTCTAGTTTCCCGGTTTCTGGGAATCAGCGGGCATAGGGTTGGAACAACACTGGTTTGCCCAGTGAAACCCCTTTTTACAGCGCAGGCAAACGGTTTTTGGTCTGGCTCCCACTCCCCCACTTTTATTAGCGTCCCCCCCCCGGGGCCCGGCACTGATTTTTAAAATGACCAGGCTTCCCGCAATTAAAACAGTTACCGGCTTTACCCACAGGTCGCCCATTGTTATTTCCTGCTCTTTGTAAAGCCATAGCCAAAATTTCCATATTAAACGCATTGGTCCCTACAATTCTACAGGCTTGAATATAGTCTGCCAATCCTGCATCAGGTTTGCTCATTAAGGGCTGCAGGACCCATCTACAGTCCTCATTAGCATTTTCAAAGGCAAGTTTTTTCAACAATTCCTCTTGGGCTATTCCATTTGTGATTTCCCTAGATATGGCCTTCTGTAACTGATCCACAAATTCCCATAGGGCTGATTAGAACCCTGAAAAATCTTTACAAAAGAGCCTTTTGTTTCCCTCTGCGCATCATCGACCCGAGTCAGGGCAGCTTGCGCGGCGAGGGCTGCATGAGAATAAAACATAGGATTCATGGCTTGTTGAGCGACCAGGTGATTAAAATTTCCATTCCCTGTTAGTTGGTCTACTGTTGGCTGATTACGGCCACGCCAAGCTAAAACGATCTTTTGACATTCCTTTTTCCATTCCGATTCCCAAACCACATATTGTGAAGACGTTAAAATCATATGGAATAGCCCCTTCCAATCTTCAGGCAACAAATAAAAAGTAGAGGCCATGTGACCTATCAGACCCAAGGTATAATGGCTGGAAATCCCATAGCTTGATGCTGCTTGTTTTATTTCTCTAATAGTTTTCATGGGAATGGTTTCATATCTGCAATTGCCTGTGGTTGGATCAATAAAAACAGGCACGCAAAATTGATATTCTTCAAGTTGCAGTTCCCCTTTTTCGTGAGCTTCGGCCAGTGCCCTAGAGATGGCGCTGGAGGGGAAGGCAGCACGTTAACGCCCCTTTGTTCTTTTTCTTCCTCACTCATTGGCGCGGACGGCTCAAGAGGCACGTCGGCTTGATAAACGGCCAAGGAGGATTTTTCTTTTGCACTCTGTCCCTTTTTTAAATCATCGGGCTTTTCAGAGTTGTAGACAGGCGGGGTGTCTACCACCCCCTTCTCTGTTTTCATGGCATCTTCATGGACTTGGAGACATTCAATAACAATTCGCCACGTAGACAAAATTTTTGGAGGGGCTCGAGGAGGTTCATTAAAATACTTCCCCAATTTAACCCACACCGACACTTTTAGGGATCCTCCTTCGGGATATACAAGACAATTTTGATGTATATATTTTAAGAGGAGGATCAAATCCCCTTTAGCGGGAAGCGGAAAATTTTTCCCATTGTTTTTCAAAACAATTATTGATGATTTGGTCAATTCCCTAAGTTCTGAGAGGTGCACAACCTGAGGCTTAGAGAATCCTGCCCCCATACTCACGGTAATGTCTTGGGAGGGTGCTTCGTCTAGTCCTGATGACCGGCCCTGAGTTGCAGTAGGCTCTTCCGCCGAGTGAGTAAGAGGGTACCAAGAGACGCGCTCAGAAACATGAATCACGTCGGGGTCACCAGTTGTGGGTTTTCACGCGCCCAACGGGTCTCCCATGAGTGTAGAAGAAAAGACACGAACACGTGGTTTCCTCGGGATGAGAGCCCCGAACAAAGCCGAAGCGTCCCTTTTATTGTGTTACCGGAAGGCGGGCGGGTTTATATGCACCTTGTGACCACATCACACCAATCACATTGTTATAACACAGCATATTAGCATATTGCATGTGCTACAGCTTTGTTACAGCTGTTGCACCCGGCACCACACCAAACACATTCCTTTGCATCGCATGGCACTTCTTGGTATTCTCCCGAATTTCTTGACTTCCGACTTCCTTATACCTTGGCCTACTGCAGCTGATGACTCAGCCTAACAGGCCAGATAATCCAATAATTCCAACATAGGATAGGATAGGATAGGATAGGATAGGATAGGATAGGATAGGACAGGACAGGACAGAACAGAACAGAACAGAACAGAACAGAACAGAATAGAATAGAATAGAATAGAATAGAATTCTTTATTGGCCAAGAGTGATTGGACACAGAAGGAATTTGTTTCCAGTGCATAAGCTCACAGTGTATATATAAACAGCAAGTAATAGGTCATAGATCATAAATCATAAAAACCATAGGGGAAGATAATAGGAAAGAAGAGAAATTGAGAAAAGATGAGAAATTATATAGTCCTCACTTGACACAACCCACATTTAACCTATCACAAGACCCTGACCTGACGTGACCCTCACCAGATGTGATCTCACCATCACAAGACCTACTGATCACACGAAGTCCTTATAAGCAGAAGAACACTGATAGTGGCATCCCCTGAATTCTGCTGAAGATGTTACCTAGCCTAGTAACTAAATGTTCGGAAACCAATCCACAAGCTCGGAGACTGAACCTCCACCCTCAGCTATCTTTGTGTCTAGTTGTTTTGGTATGCAATGCTCTATAGCAGCATCTTCAGGGGAGAAGTGGAAATAGATTATGTCCAGGATGTGAGGGGTCTTCTTTCTGGTTTGTGCAGTATACAGATCTTCAACGGAAGGCAGGCTGGGGGTGATTGTTTTTTCTGCAGTCCTGTCCTTTGAAGTCTGTACCTGTCTTGTTTGGTTGCTGTGCCAAACCAGATGGTTATTGAGGTACAAATGACAGACTCAATAATTCCACTGTAGAACTGTATCAGCAGATCATTGGGCAATCTGAGTTTTCTGAATTGACGCAGGCATTATTTTCAATGGCTTTAAAAGGGTCAATCAAATGCAATTAATCTTGAAGATTCATTGCTATTAGGGATGTGAGACACTCACTGATTCAGGATGTGTACAATTCACTGAGGCAGGAGTAGAACTTAGTGTTTTCTTCTGAGCTATGAACCTTTCCCAGACTTATGCTATTCTGGGAAAATTGGAGGCAGTTTGTGGTGTTTGTGGTGTTCTTGAGATGGTCCAGCCCCCAAACAGGATTGTTTCTCCAAAATGATGCAGGAGGCTGATGACTCTAAGTGAAATAGGATGGGCACTACACAGCATTTTTTATCTGTTTTATTCTATTCTATTCTGTCTACTCTTTCATGCAAAGGGATCTGTAATAAATATAAATTTATATATAAAAATATGGTAATACCTTACTCAGTTGAAGTAGATCCTCAAGTGAAATTTATGCATGGTTTGTTCATCTTGTTACAACATCACTATTTCATTTTTTGTCTGTTATACACCTACTGTGACAAATAGTTATATGTAGTATTTTATTCTCTAAAAAGCTATTTAGATTTTATATCTTATTTTGTTTCTAGATATATGGGCTATTGGCTGTATATTTGCTGAGCTATTGACGTCAGAACCTATATTTCACTGTCGTCAGGAAGACATCAAAACAAGCAATCCTTTCCATCATGATCAGCTTGATCGCATATTTAGTGTCATGGGATTCCCTGCAGGTGATTCAGTGACCCTTAAAACATTTTAAGAAATCTTTGACCTGAATTGTTTTCAATAAATTGATTGTTCTTCCTATGCATGTATTCCATTCAAATACAATTTTATTATGACTTTTGGTCAGCAAATTTATATGCTTGTACAGGTAGTCCTCGATCTAGGATCACAACTGAGCCCAAAATTTCCATTGCTAAACAAGACAGTTGTTAAACGAGTTTTGTTCCATTTTATGACCTTTCTTGCCACAGTTATTAAGTGAATCACTGCAGTTGTTGAGTTAGTAACACAGTTGTTCAGTGAATCTGGCTTCCCCATTGACTTTGCTTCTCAGAAGCTCACATGACCCAAGGATACTGCAAGCGTCGTAAATCCATGCCAGTTGCCAAGCATCTGGATTTTTATCACATGATCCTGGGATGCTGCAACAGTTGTAAGTGTGAAAAACTGTCATAAATAACTTTTTTTCAGTGCCACTGTAACTTTGAACAGTCATTAAACAAATGGTTGTAAGTGGAATTACTGTAGAATATAGGATAGACTGTGCCCAGTATTTTATCTTGTGCTTCTTTAATATTTTCCAAATTTTTACTTTACAAAGATAAAGACTGGGAAGACATTAGGAAAATGCCAGAATATCCTACACTTCAAAAAGATTTCAGAAGAACAACGTAAGTTACATATCTCTGGTCATTATGCTTTAAATATATAATTATCAGTATATAGTTTTTATTATTTTTATTTGGAGATTTGGTAGTAGAAAGAGGTATGATGTAGACTTGGACATAAAGTTTCACCCATCTCTATCTTTCTTTTCATGAAAGGATCATGATTGTTTGTAACAAATTCTTCCTTTGTTGGGATGAATTTCGGAATCATATTTGTCAAACTTAAATGGTAGAAAATGGGATAAATTCAGTATGACCAAGAAACTAATTTGATTTAGAGAGTATGTGAAATCTCAATTATCTTTTCCTTATAGAAAGAGGGAGTATGTCATACTGAGACTTTTATTACAACACATAACTCTAAATCATGAGTTGTATCTGAATATGGCTACTATATATAGGTATCCTCACTTACCAGCTGCAGCTGAGACTGGCAACTAAGCAACACAGTTATATTAAAGTAAAACATCACCTTACCAGGCCCAGCTTATAATGTCAGTTAAGCATGTGACATAATCATTGACTGCTTGTTTAATGCCAGCTTTGAAAGCTGGAAATAACAATCACTTGTCTGTAGGATGCTGCAACCATCATAAACAATATCAGTTACCAAGTGCCCAAATTATAATCACATGACTGCAGGATTGCTGCAATGGCCACATGTTCAAGGACCACTGATAAATCTCCTTTTTACGGCTGTTCTAGCTTCAAAGCTGAACAAGGTATCAGTAAGCAAAGATTGTATTTTTAAATTCCATCTTGAGGCTTAAAATACAAGTGCTTTCTATGTCCCAGTTAGATTATTATCATTTAATACTTCAGATACTTTAGAAGAAATGGGCAGCCTTCTGTCATGTAAGGTCATTTTTCCCCCCTGGAATTTGAGGTTCACCAGCCACAGTCCAGGTGCAAATTAGTGGCTTATTAAGGCAGATACCTGCTATTAACTGCCTGCATCCCCATGAATAAATGATCAACCAAAGGATTTGTGATCAGTATCAAAGCCAAGCTTAGGTCGACTTTAAAGATTCTTCTCTTAAAAGATTTTTTTTCTCAGTAATCTAGTTTAATGGATAATTTTTAGTTGTTGTGTTTAGAAGTTGAGAATCAGGTCCTAACAGGAACAGTAACCCTAACAGGGACAGTAAATTATATCAGTATTGAGAGAGTTGCTGTTGTTTTCAGACTCATGTCAACATGTACCAACTTGTGCCCTTCATATACAGTAAGTTACTCATTTTCAGTTCTCATCATCTTTAACATTTTAAGAATCACAGATGCTGATTATTAGGCTATGTGCCTGGCAAATAAAATCTTCATTGGATGCCCTTCTCCAAATATTCTACTGCCTCTTCGAATTTGGGTTGATGAATAGAACAAAGGTTCAGATTATCACATTTCATTCCTTAACATAGACAATCCTATTACTTTATGTAGTACTACCATATCTGGTCTCTAAAATCTGCATTTCTTTCTGTATCTTCTTGCAGCTGTTCCGATGGAATTTTGCAACCCATATATAATAGTCCAAATCTTATCTTACTTTTCTTGAGGATTCGATAGGATTTCATCTGCATTTTTAGAATATTTGCTTCTATTTTAATTTTTTATTTCATTAACTTTGGTGAGGGGAGAAGATTTGTATAACTCAATGGACACAAGGTAGTCATGGAATATAATGGTACCTTCAAAACTAATTGATTTTATTGGGCATTAGCTTTCTTGCAACTCACATCCACAGATCCATAGTGTGGGCTTACATTCTGTGGATCTGATGAAGTAAGCTGCTATTCACAAAAGATTATGTCCCAATCAAGTTGATTAGTCTTGAAGGTGGTATCAGACTCCATATCTATTTTATTACTTTGGCTTCTACTGCCTATTACTTTTATGCTTTAATTAAGTTTTCACATTAGTTTTATTAGTCATTTCAGATTTTGTTAAAAAGGAGTATAATTGAAGTATATATATATGCAGACACGCATTATGATACATTAGAGAAACCTAGATTAGTGTATTTTTATAACTGCTTTAAATATTCCACAGTAGAGCCTATTTCAAGATTAGTTTTATCTATTGTTCAGATAAAATGGGATTGGCACCTGTATATTAATAAAAACTGCCACTGCTATCTGCATGTGGTTTGTTGTATGCACCAGGAAATAAAAGCTTATGAAATGTAATTAACATATAGTAAAATTTTTGATGCTGCCTTAACTCTTTTGATTTTGTTCTCTGTTTCTTTTTTCAGATACGCCAATAGTAGCCTCCTCAAATACATGGAGAAACACAAAGTCAAGCCTGATAGCAAAGTATTTCTTTTGGTAAGTGACATGGAAGCTTTATTTTTCTCTTTAAATAAGTTACATTCTTAGGTTCAAATAGCTGTAAAAGAAAACTTTGTTGCTGCTGAAGTCATCTTTTGCTTTGTAAAGTTAACAGCGCAGTCTTTTAGATTTCTGCAAAGAAGTAAGCCCCATTCAGAGAGGTTTACTCTCAGGGAAAGGATAAGATGTCACCCTTATTCTGGCAGAAACTGAGTTTTTTAATGTACAGATTTAAAATATAATACATGAAAAAAAAACTAAATTCTTTCTAGTGGCCAGTTCTCCTAGTAATTTTAATATTATGTAACGTTTTACCAACACTGACATTAATAATTCATGTATTAACTAATTTGTTAGATTTATAGCTCCTCTTTTCTCCAGAAATTAAGAATTAGATTCGATGAGATTAGATTAGATTAGATTAGATTAGATTAGATTGCCTGCCAGAAATTGTTTCCCCTTCTCATGCTGGACTATGATCAATATAAGGAAGACCTCTATATTTTATGTTTTTTAATTTTTATAACTATATGATCCATATTTTCTGTACATAGAATCCCATAAATTTATTTGCATTTGTTTCATTTTAGTATTATTGGTCATGCATGTCATTGAGTTTTACTGAGAAATTCATATAAGCTGGCTTCTTTGTAGCTTCAGAAACTTCTGACTATGGATCCGACTAAAAGAATTACCTCAGAGCAAGCTATGCAGGATCCTTACTTCCAGGAAGACCCATTGCCTACATCAGAGTATGTTTTTTTCCCTGGTCTTTGGAATATTATTTATTTTATAATATTATTTACTTTCTAAATAACTCTCTAAAGTTATAAAAATTAAAATAGTAGCCATAATGTGTGTTTGATTATGTCTCTGAAATATCTATTATATAAGATAAAAGATTCGTCTTTTATAATGGAGCCCACATTTGGATTTAAAATGACATATCCAGGGTTCCATTCTTAGAGTAGTGTGCATGGGAAGGACATTTATATTTAAACTGAATTGAATGTAGAAATAAATAGAATATACTCCAGTCATTTATAAACATTTCTTTGCTAGTGAAAGATTTCATTGCAATTTGCAGCCTCTGAGGAAATTCTGCAGAGGTGGTAGATGCCCTGCATGACATTATTATCAGCTTTTTCTTAGGTTTTTTTTGTTGTTGTTGTTTTGCAACTTTGCTTCAATTTCTATGCTCTTTTACTGAGTATTAAATCCTTTTAATATATAAAACTTCATATTGAGTAAACATGGAATGGGCTGCACTGTAAATTACTTAAATTTTATCCTAAAAGATCTGTTTTGTTCATTGAGGTGACAAAGGCTTATTGATGAGCAAAAAATATTATTTGCTAAATCCTTTTTAAGCAGCAGTAATGCTAAAATTATGTTAGGAACACTTTTTGAAATGAATGCTAAATTAGATAGAAACTTCAAACCAATAATTCTTCTTATGCTACACATACCTAGTGTTTTTCAACTGATTTGAAATGAAACCTGATATAGAGCCATATAAAATAATTATAGCCTTTCTATTTGAAAGAATTATAAACAAAATGCCATGAGCTACGATTTTGTTACCAATTGTTAGTGCTTTTGGCTGATAGTTTTTGAAGCAATTGGGAAAAATCAGTACTTTTTCATAATGAATTACTGTTGATTTACTGCCCATATTTTCTGATGCATATAAATTGCTACAACAAAAACAGTTGAATTAAATTCTTTTTTTTAGCTATCTTGTTTGTTGCTGCAAAATATTAGAAATGTACAGGCAGTCTACAAGTTATAACCAGTTGCTTAGTGAGCGGTCAAAGTTACAATAAACTTCAAAAAAGTTACTTATAACCTGTTCTCCAAGTTATGACTGCTACACCCCACATTCCCATGGTTAGGTAATCACATTTGAGGTGCTTAGCAACTGAGGCCTTTTCCAAGCCTCTGGAGCCCTGATTGGGCTGCGGGGGGGGGGAGGGCTCCACAAAATCGCTCCACGGCCATGGATCTGGTCTCCGGAGGCTTCGAAAAGACCTCCGGAGCCCAGATCATACCGCGGGGTGTGTGCAAAATTGCTCCGCGGCCATGGATCCATTCTCCGGAGGCTAGGAAAAGGCACCTGGAACCTGGATCAGGCCGCTGAGTGGGCCGCAAAATTGCTACGTGGCCATGGATCCGGTCTCTAGAGGCTTGGAAAAGGCATGCAGAAGTCCCCCCAACCTCCCTTCCTGGCGGAAATGGCTAGGAAAACCCCTCTGAGGCTTTGATCAGGCCCTTGGAAGCTCCGTTCCGGGCGGCAGCAGCCATTTGCACCAGGAACGGAGGTTGGGGGGGATTTCTGCGTGCCTCCGGGGCTGGATCCAGCCCTCAGAGGACTGCTCCAAGCTGTTGTTGCCTGGACCGGAGCTTCCAAGGGCCTCATCCAAGCCTCCAAAGGCATGCTTGGAGGAAGGCTCCAGGGACAACGGAGTCACTTTCTCCCCCAGTGTAGCGAGCTCCGGCAGGCTGGACACAGGTGTGAGGAGCCTGGCCTTCTCCCTCAGTTGAAGGCTTCAGGCTTGCTGTCAGGCAGAAAGAAGTTGGGGGCAGGAGCAGGAGACAGGCACCTTTTGCATAGAGAATGAAAGTCTCTGAGGTCCATGATTTGGCAGAACTTCAAACACTCACACGAGATCACAGACTCCAGAAACTTCCATTCTCAATGCAAAAAAACACTTCCAAGCCGGCTCTCCTTCAAAGGGAAAGAAACTGCAGCAGAGAGGATTTTTGTAAGGTAAGTGAGTCCGGCACGGCAGGAAAGGAGGGGGAAGCAGTTGTGAGGAGTTTGTGGGGGGCTGGAATAGGGTGAATGTTCCACTGAAGTCACTCCTAAGGGCGAACGACTGCAACTTTGGGACTTGCTCGTAAACACTAGGGGCGCTCGTCACGTAACTTCGAATGAGCGTTAAGTGAATGCTCATAACTCAAGGATTACCTATAATCCCATCCAATTTCTGATATATCATCCATCAAGATAACCAATTTCAATATCACATTCCAAGCAAAAGTGGAGGCAGAAAACTAAGCATTTTTCATTGTCTTCTCTGCTGTAGAACAGAATGTAAATTTGGATTTTCAGATTGATAAGGGGTCTATTAGCTATTTTCAAAATAATCAACAGGCTCAGTCCAACCCGTCTTCCAGGTCACAAAAGAAGGAGTACATGGAAAAGAAGCAGAACCTTCCCATCTTAATTTGTCTGTATATACTGATTATTTTAATTTTGTACGCCGCCCTGAGTCCTTTGGGATTGGGCGGCATATAAATAAATTAAATAAATAAATAAATAAATAAATACTGTATTTGAAAGTTGAGTACCAGTAGAATTCTTTTGTTTTTATTAGTAATAAATCTTACTCAGTTCCTCTAGCCAGCTTCCAATCCAGGCTGATACTATAAATCTGACATGAAAATTAAAATGGACTTCACTCTGTTCTAGTTCTAACATGTCTTAATATTTCCTCCACTTTCAGGTAACATCCTATGCATATCATTACTCTACAACTCTAGACTTATTGTTAAATTGGAGGGGCCTGATTTAGCTTTGTGAGAGGGAAGAAGTGTTTAAGAGGAATAGTGACAAACACATGGACTATGTCACACATAACTGCCATGGCATTTTAACAGTATTGTCACAGTCAACATTTTTGTAATGGATCTATCAATCCCTTATAGCAGTGTTTCCCAAACTTGACAATTTTAAGGCATGTGGACTTCAACTCCCAGAATTCCACAGCCAGCATTGCTGGCTGTGGAATTCTGGGAGTTGAAGTCCACATGCCTTAAAATTGTCAAGTTTGGGAAACACTGCCTTATAGCAACATTCTAACAGATCTTCCATCACTGCAGATTTACGGCAGGCATCAGTTTAAAACTGATGACAGAGTGATTTGTCCATGACAACAGAATCACATTGGATTCCTCACCATCAGTTCCAACTATCAAATTCCATGTGTCCATGTTGTAAGCATGGAATCAGATTCCAATTGGAAGAGATCTATAGTTGTCACAGAGGGTATGAAATTCTGAGTTGCTTTTAACATGTACAATGAAATAGCCTAAAATAAGGAGACTAAAATAATTCAACGTCAATCTGAAATCACCATGACTAGTTCAGAAAGAAAGACATTAGTCATAGTTTGTGTGAATATGTCCAGTGTGTAACAACATATTGGCCATATTAAAATAGAAGCAAATGTTTTCCATTGCATCACATTTCTGCTAGGGATGTCCAAAATTTTATTTGAACTCTGATATGTTTTTAAGTGAATGTAAGCTAACATATACCGCTGCAATTCCACTGTATTCTTCTGTTCCAGTGTTTTTGCTGGTTGCCAGATTCCGTACCCCAAACGAGAATTTCTTAATGAAGATGAACCCGAGGAAAAGGGCGATAAGGTATAGTTCATAGACCATGTTGCCATTAGTAAAAAACTAATGATGTTTCTGAGGGGGAAGGCTTACAGAACCTCAAAGATGTACTCTGACCAAGATTTCTGGTCAATATGATTGCCATGAGACATTCTCAAAAAGGATTGCGTGTTGATAGGTGATAATTACGAGAAATTAGATTGTTTAAAACTGAATAATCTTTAGTAAGTTTAGATAATTGAAGTAACATAGCTGGAATAATAAAAGGAAAAGGTCTTAAACCACGGGTGTCAAACTCGCCACGTGACGTGTCGTGACATATTGCAACTTTTTTCGCATTGCCGGACCTGGGTTGGGCGCGGCTTCCATGTGATGCAACCGGCCCGTGGGCCGGCAGTTTGACACCCCTGTCTTAAACCGATATATCCTAATAATGTCTTTAAAAAGTCATCAATTGGCAAGAAATATTCTGATAGGGTTATAGTGATGCTGTGTGAGTAGGAGGAGGATAGAGGAAGGGAATTGCTCAGCGGCAAAAGATCATGCATTCTGAAGGCTCCAGGTGCAATCCTTGAGATCTCTCACTAAAAAGGCTCAGGCACCAAGTGCCTCTGACCCTGAAGAACTACTGCTATTCAGTATAAGTAATCTAGATGGGAAGTGCCTGTTGATGTACAGCAATGTCCCATGTTCTTATGGTAACAGAGAAAAAAATAAATTAGAAACTTCAAGAAGAGCCTCATACCACCAAAGATCAAAATTATGGAAGAAAGCCAAAAGTCTGTTAAGAATGAGAATAAAAGTTGCAGAACATGAAATATTCTAATAAAGGAGCTATATTTACCTTTGTTCCCCTTGAATAATATTTCAGACATATGTTTTTATTCATTTATTCATTCAGTTCTCAACAAGTGACCCAGGGTAGCAAACAAAATTAAAATAAAATAAAAACAATTACAAGAATTAAATTAGAAAGCAACCAAGAACAGCATCACTAGTGCAACCAAGAATCAGACTCCTGTTTTGATTCTGAGACTTAAGAAAAAGAATTTTCCTTGAGTGGAGCTTGACTCCTGCTGATTGCACAGACTTAGCCATAAATGTTTCTCAGCAACAATAAAAAATTATTTATTAATTGCTTTTAGTCTAGGAATTAGGTGCAGAGATAGATATAAATATCAATATCTTTACCTCTGGTTTTTGCTCCACTTTGTTTTTCAGAATTGCCATTTTCTGTGACATTAAGCCTGCTGAATTCCAAAATAGATTGTAAATAAGTTTAGTTGTTGCAGATGTTAACTAATGGCTCCAGCTGGTTAAATTTCAACCAATTACATTCCATCAGCTATTTTGTCCTGGGGCATCATCACGATCATATTCCTTTGACTAATGCACAATTGCAGATTATAGTTCTAACTGGCTTGTCCAATAGGACAGTATTGTTCCTGAATATTGTGTCATCTATTATAGTAAAAGTATAAATATGGCTTTAATTGTAATTTTTGGCAGTGATAACAGTTGTATAATTAATGGGAGGATTTTTATTTGGTTTGTGTTCTCCTTTTTTCATCTTGCAGTGAAAGTTCTTTGTTGCATTGAGACACATGGAAAAAAAACATACTGACTTCAAAGCCTTTTGTTAAAAGGGTTGTTTGGCCATTATTGTACCTCAACATTTAATTGCACTTACTTTGCTGGAAGTTTATAGTCAAAGTCTATAAACATTGGGATCAAATGTTAAAAGGATAATCTAGTTTGACTCTTAAGATTTGTGTAAGATTTGTTGTTATGTTGCCATCTTTTCTTGTCCTCAGACTAGTATAAACTTTCTGCTGCTGCTTTATTATTCTGTTCACTGGAGTACTTTCTCTGTCTTTGACCTGACTTGGAAAATCTATGTCCCAATCAGCTATACCCTGCTCTTTTTATAATTAACTGAAAGATTCATTCCTTTCCTCTCTATATATTTGTTTTCCATGATTGTCTCCAGGAATTCTGGTACTGAAACATACATTTTGAGTAATATGGATTTCAATTACTATGAATCAACCAAAGCCATAGATGAAGTATAAGAGGCAAACACTTAAACTGTAACCATCTCATCTCAAGATTTGAGATAAGGTTGTTTGCAGCTTTTATGGAAATTTTATATTCCTTTTTTTCCTCTGTTACTTTTGTTACTATTGAATGGTTAGGGTTTTAAGAAGAAAATCTCTATTCATTTCAAGATTTATAGACTATATATATTTATAAATAACTCAAGGTGGCAAACGTATCCAACACATCTTTCTCTTCCTGTTTTCCCCACAACAGTCCTACGAGATGAGTTGGGCTGAGAGAGAGTAACTGGCCCAAGATCAGCCAGCTAGATTTCATGGCTAAGGCAGGACTTGCACTCACCATATCCAGCTTTCTAGCCTGGTGTCTTTACCACTGGACCAAACTGACTGTCTTTTTAAAGAATTGATGGAAGAAGATGTGAAAGTAGAAAGCAAAGCAGTGTACATCTAAAAAAGCGATGGTTTGCTGTCTTTCCTCTAAAAAAATGAACATGTTCAAACATACCATTATTTCAAGCAAAGCCTATTACTGTATATATAGAATAGTCAGAAGAAATTGGTGAGGCAGTGAAGGAGCCTGTACTCATTTATGAGGCACCAATGTGTCACACACACATTAACTCTTTTTTTAAAAAAAAGATGGCCACTGTAATATGTTTAAAAGACATTCAAACAGTGGCTGAATAAATGGAAACCACCTACCAAAAGAGAGAGAATTCAGTATGGTATTTAAATGATAACCTTGTTTATCATTATTCCATGATTTTCCTAAGGAACCTATATAGTCCTTGGCTCAGTTGGAGACCTGGTATCAGATGGGCATGAGAAGGTCAGGCTTATATAAAAGGTTCATGGCTCAGTGAAGTTTAGCCTTTCTCATCCCAGTACAGATGTTCCTATCTCCCTAGGCTCTCTAAAAGTCATATCACCCTTATTGACCCAGTGTACTGCTGTGTACATTTCTAGGAGGACTCAGGAATAATAACTACCCTAAGACTAAACCTCATGGTAATCTCAGCTCTCTCTCATTCCCTTGGATTTGATCCAGAATCAACAGCAGCAGAACCAACATCAGCAACAAACTGGACCTCAGCAGCAGCAAGCAGCACCTCAGCAGCCGCAGCAACCACAGCCGCAAGCAGCACCTCAACAGCAAAACAGCACCCAGACCAACGGACCTGCAGGGGGTGGCGGGACAGGAGGTGGTGGGACTGGGGCAGGCCTCCAGCACAGCCAGGACTCCAGCCTCAACCAGGTGCCTCCAAACAAGAAACCACGCCTTGGGCCTTCAGGCACGAATTCAGGCGGGCCTGTCATGCCTTCAGACTATCAAGTATGTTCCTTTTTCCTGGTCTTTATATCTTCTTTGATTTCTTTTCAAGGATTGAGGGGAAACGAGTAAGGAAATGCTACTATAGGATGGCTTGTCCCAGAATTAGAATATTTTTATGAGCCCTTCTCAATTTATGAATGTGTGAATGGATGAAGGCTCATATTCCTGCATAAGAAATAATTTATTATCACTTTTCAAGGTAAATCTTGTTCAAGACAGTTTTCAAAGTTTGAGATACAGGTATGGTTAATTAAAACAATACCCTTTGTTTTGTTAGAAGATAGACTCAGTTCAGAGAGATGAAGCTTTTTGCATTTCTTTTGCTGATAATACTATAAAGTTTCACAAGTAAAGTTTATTGTAAAGTGCTGTAAATAATAATAATAATAAAATAATAAAGTTGGAAGGGACCTTGGAGGTCATCGAGTCCAACCCCTGCTCAGGCAGGAAACCCTATACCATTTCGGACAAATGGCTGTCCAGTCTCTTCTTAAAAATTTCCAGTGTTGGAGCATTCACCACTTCTGGTTGTTCCACTGGTTAATTGTTCTAACTGTCAGGAAATTTCTCCTTAGTTCTAGGTTGCTTCTCTCCTTGATCAGTTTCCATCCAATAGTTACAGGTATCAAAGAGACAGTAATTCTATATCCTTCCTCACTCAGCTATTTGATCAGTAAAGATGTTGGCCCATTTTCCATAATTCTTAACTAGCATGGAGCATAATGACTGGAAATGTGCCATTATTATTAAATAAATTGAAATATAATGCCTGTGGAAAGTAAGTTGCTGTATTCAAATTCATAATCTTGAGTGCAGGAGTCTGGTCATTACATGTTGAAGATAATCATCTCTGTAGTTAGATGCATAATATTTTCTGCCTGTTCCACTGGGCTCTGTGCATTATCTCTAGCACATTTATGACTTCATCTGGCCATGGTAACTGCAACAACAGTCATACGATACCTTCATTTTTACAAAATTAAGATACATTAGCTGTCACAAATAATAGCATTTGTGTATATGTGCATGTATTTTCATTAAATGGTTTTTAAAAAGTTAATACTGAAGTATCAATAAATATATTCAGGCCTATCAAGTTCTGTCATCAAGCTGTTTTCTTATATTTTGCATTGAAAGTTATGAATTCCTTTCTTCATTCCCATTTTCTAAATTTTCTAAATGGAAATTAGACACGGCTGCTTTCATTATATTTACTATATCTAGCTACTTTCCTCTTTGAGAGAAAGTTTCTCTCAATGACAAACCATCTTTATTTTATTTGTTTAATATAAATTGTTACGTAGACAATTTGTTTTCTATATTTAAGCATACGCATACCAAATAAGCTTTCCAATTGGCATTTTATCAAATGGAAAGCTTTCCCTATAATTAACATGCTTGAAACATGGCTAAACTTGCTTGTTTATTGATACTGCAAACACACAACATATAGGATGCTACTAAAACTTTGAACAAATTTTGGATAGTAATTCCCAACTTTGTGGGAATGTATGCAGCCCATAGATATGCACCTCTGCCTTATACCATGATTTTGCTTCAGAGAGCTAGCTGTTTAAAAGTGCAGCTCAAAATGTAATCCCACCTTAATCCAGAATGATTGTGGACTTTTAGCCCAAGACCTGGTTAGCTAGTTTGCATGGAAACAGTAGAATATTAGTGTCTCTTCATGTAAGTCTGTGTAAGAAGATGTGCGTTTGAGGCTGTCATTATACACAGATTTCAAGGAGAAGTTCACTAGTATCTTGTTTGTCCTCACTATCAAATCCAGTTTTATGAACTCATCTTCAAAGATTATAGCATATATTAGATTAATATTAGGATAATGTTAGCAACTTGCTTTTAGTTATTTAACCTATTCTATTTCCAATAGCTAAATATTCCATAGACCAGGGTTAGGCAACCTTGGCTCTTTTATGACTCATGAACTTCAACTCCCAGAATTCCTGAGCCAGCATGGCTCAGCTTAGAAAGCTCTCCCTTTTCCCTCAGCATGGCTCGCTCAGGAATTCTGGGAGTTGAAGTCCACGAGTCATAAAAGAGCCAAGGTTGTCTATGGAATATTTAGCTATTTACCTACCCCGCCATAGACAAAGCAGAAGTTACGAAGATGGGAAAAGACGGACAGGCCAGTCTCATTTCTGTACTTAAACCCATCCAAAGGAAATGAGAGGGAGCTTGCAATAATTCTTTATGGCCATCCTTCACCCCCTCTTTTATGATACAGTTCTGCTTCATAAAAATGTTTTTTTTTTGCTTTTTTTTTTTTTTGTAGCACTCCAGTTCACGCCTGAGTTACCAAAGCAACATTCAGGGATCTTCTCAGTCCCAGAATACAATGGGCTATTCAACATCATCTCAGCAGAGTTCTCAGTACCATCCGTCCCACCAATCTCACCGGTACTAAAGAGACTTCTTCATAAAGGGTGTTAGAAAGGAATGAACTAACAATGAGTGGACTCCAGCAATATGAAGTTCATAACCATGAGAAGAACCAAAAAATGCAAATTGTGATGCAGATTTTAGAATTGCAAACTTTTTATTTACTGATTATTTTAAGACAAGAGACAGTTTTTATCCTTTTTTGCCATAAAGGAGATTCTTGTGAAGTTTCCCTTCAGCTTGCTTTCGCATGTGTTCCATTGTGGTTATACTCGATCTGATCTGAACCAAGCACTTAAACTTCTTTAACCTATGGAATTGTTGAAGGATTCCTGGTGCACCTTTCTCGTGTTGTAGTAATTGCCATAAATCTAACCTTTTCCAAATCCTTTTACCAGGATTTTAAATTTTTGGAATCTTGAACTCCTGGGCTTTTCAAGCTTGTATATAGTTAATTTTTTTACTAGGCAGACCAGTTTAGCTATACAGGTATAATGCACCTTTTAAAAGCACTATGTTATTTTCACAGGATATTACTCTTTTGCTCATGGATGTCAAGAACAGCAGATTTTACTATTCCAGAGTATTTTATTATCTTTTTAGTAGTCTAATTTTCAGATGAGATATTTAAAAAAAAAAAGAAGAAAAGAAAAATATACAACCCAAGTCTCTGCAGCAGCTATTACATGTTATGTGTTTGGATTGAACACCAAACAGAAGATTATGAATGTTTCTTTTATCATTCAGATGAGCATCCCATAGATGATTGGTCATTTTCTTCCAAATGAATTGACTGAAGCTTTGCTTTATATTAAGGTATGGAAGCAAAGCAGAAGACATCAACTTTTGTGGCTCCAGTAGAACAAATGTGTCTATAGTGTCTTCTTTAGTGGTTATCTGTTACCTGCAGTGGTGTCTTTGCTCTCTGTTGAATCTCTACAATTGGGGTTCAGCATTAATGGGATAAAGGGCAAAGGAGGCTTTGCCCCTCCTTTGGGGATGCTGAGTGGAGGGATGAAGTGTACTCTAATATATATGAGCATCTTTCATTTATTTCTTACCTAGACTTTGATTTTGAAACTTGCAGCAGAAACAAACTAAATGTGCTGTGGCACCTTAAAAGACTAATAATTTTGTTCTTGCATTAGTATCTGCCCAGTTGCAGAAGACTTGCAATCATGAACATTGAGAAGCCATTAATGTCATTGCTGTTATTCCTTCATTATCCAGTTGAAGCAGATCAAATACTGAAAAAGGAGTAGTCGAACAATGTATTGAAATTGCTTGGCCTTCTCATGTACAAAATGCATCTGATGTTGTTGTGTCACTGTGGTGATTGATCCAGATTAGATGTGGTAGATAAGATATGCTATATTGAAATGCTTTTTAATCCTAAGACAGGAATAGACTCCATGCTGTCCTTCCGGTGTTTTGGACTACATTCCTTGCCACTGGCTGTGCTAGCTCAAGCTGATTAAGAATGAAAGTTCAGGATACCTTGAGGAGGGCACTAGGTTGCCTGTCTCTGCCCTAAGATCTGACACAAAGTGTCCTGAAGAAATATTGTGATCCTGGACAAGCACTTCACATGAAAAGTAACAAAGCTTATGAACAGATCCTATATGTTGGAGACTTGTCAAATCACTAGTTATAGTATCTGTGAACAGAAGCAACATAGACTATGAAGCAAGTCCGTCCCGTATCTATTTTTTTAAAACTATATAAATAAGGTAGTGCGTTTTATTCAGAAATTTAGAATTTATCGTTGAATTCACCATATTCTGACTTTTCTTCTTTTTAAAGTAGATTTTCTGTCTTTCTACGTATGAAGGTAACTTAAAGTAAGCATTTCTTAGTTAACATTTTAGAATGTGAGGGAATGCAACTGAATAGGGTTTTCCAAGGGTAATCACTATTACTTCCCCATGGCTACTAAAAGTAGAATAATTAGATATCAGTGCAAATTTGTGTTGTTTGTGCAAATTATAGAATTCAATTTCTTTGTGTGGGAATTTGGCTCATCGTGGTGCAGAAGCTTTTTAAGCATGCTAGGCCCTAACTTTATTGCACTAAATGTGAAAGGATATATACTTTAGAGTATATACAGTAAGCAGCACTCAATATTTTAAAAATAATTATTAAAAAAGAGAGATGGAGGAAAAAAACAGGTTATATAGGCATTTTATGGGCATTTACACTATATAGCATAAGGTTATGCCTTGTGGTTTTTTTCTTCTTATATATAAGAACCCCTTAACAAAAGTTAAAACTTTATACTAAGACTGCAATACAAATTTGTGTTGGGTATGTTTGCCACCTTGAGTTATTTGTAAAAATAATAAAGGCGGAATATAAATAAATAGTAAAAAAATTAGACAGTGGATCCACTCGCTTGGAAGGGAAATTTTGATTCTGAGCGTAATAGAGGTGTCTGATTCATGAAATGACAAGTAATTTATTTCCGAAGATATATAACTGGATCTTTCTCCCCTGAAAAACTTTATTTTTTGTAATACTTTGCGCATCATGTGTCTAAATTAGTTTTGTTGGATGGAGTTTGCATCTTCCATACAAATCTTCAGTGAAAACATTCCTTTTCTTTCATACGTCTCCAATTTTATCTGTCTTATTGCATTCAAGCTAATGTCTGGTCAGCAGCTGAGAAGGTTATTAAATTTCATTTTGACCAGCTTATGAACAACCCATTTTCTTTTTGCTACTCCAGCCTTCTTCTTGTTGCAACTGCAACTATTGTGAGTTCTGTCAAAATATAGCTTCCTCTGTGCATGCAGTGTGATAATCTGTGTTGAATGTGCTTTATTTCCATGAGCTTCCGGTCCCCTAAGATATGGCCATGATTATATTCTGTATTGATATCTTTGCATATTTGCTGGAAAATAATGGCTTGCTGTGCTCCATTTCCCTGCAGCATCTGTGCATACATATGTAGCTGTGCTCAATACTTCATGGCCTTCCAAATAAGCTTTGACAGGGGAATAGATGAAAGTTTAGGTTTACACTTTTGAAATGTTTACTGCACTCTTTCTCTATGTGTATCTTGGCTTTGCGGCATACTTGGCCTACTAGGGTGAACTATTTGTGTATAATATGATGAGTGTCTCATGTAATGCAGGACTAAAATGAGATGGCTTTGTTTCAGGGGAATTTTAACAAATCAGAATACATTGTATAATAAATCATGTGTTGTGTGTTATGGAAACAGGACACAGAAATGTTCATAACTGTGCAGCTTTGCTTTAATCTAGAGTTTTCATGTTGCTATCTCATTGGCTCTTGGAAGTGAGGGTCAAGCAATTGACCAGTTTTGCTACCCTCATTCTGCAGCGCTTCTCTTCTGGTTTTCAAAGAAAAGGGCCAAGAAAATATGATTAGCAAAGCAGGGATGACATGAACAGTAACGCAGACTGCATAATGAAGGAAGAATCATGTGAAAGCTGCAAGTCCTGCACTGTAATCTGTGACACTGTATCTGGTCGGGTGGGAAACGGGTGGGGAGGTTGGGAAGACATCTTGTTGTTAGGGAAGTGGAAGCTTGAAGTATTTGATTATGTATAATATTTTATATAAACGTAATAAGCTTAGTTCCCCTTCATAATCTTCATTGATGGTACTTAAGCAACTTTAAGTAAGGATAACTGTTTTAAGACAAAAAAATAAACATACTGTATATAAGATCATGTGTAATCTTTGTTTTGCCAGCAGAGTAATATGTATTGCTTTATGTGTGTGGGGGGGAGTCTTTTAATGCACTGTTATCTCCTACATATTTAGTAGTAAATTAATTCTATTTAATTTTTTTTTTAAAAAATATCTGTCTTCAGTAGACACTAAAAAGTATTACATAATGTGGACTGAAATGGTCCCTTTTGAAAAGCAGTTTAATAATTCTTATATCTGTAAGTAGTTTGCTTTTTTGTTTTTTTATTTGCTCATGTATAACTATTTGTGGAAGATTGCCTGCCCTCGGTTCTCTTTTATACATTACTTCACATATTCATCTTCGGTTCTTGCATTTGTGTTTATTATATCCTTGTGTGTCCTCTTTAATGTCTCTTCAGTTCATAAGTAATAGCCAATGATTACCAATATATTTTTTGCCTGTTGAGGATGGATGGATGGATGGACAGACAGACAGTTGCACTAAATATTTCAATTTCCCCAGTGCAGAGTTGTATTTTCACTTGTTAAAATTCCATGGCATACTTACACTTAAATGGAATTAATTACATCATCATGTTTTACATCAGTAAAGTATTATTAATGCAACACTTTGTTCTCTTTCTTTGGTGTCCCCCCTCCCCCCAATCTTTAGAGGGTGCCCCAACCACTCCATGGGGAAAGGAAATTAGTGCTGTTTCATCAGAGGACAGATGTAAGGGGATATAACTCTTTGTAAGAGTCTATGTCTTAACGTTTTAAAAAGCATCTCCAGGCTCACTCTTTAATGTATACAAGACCCTCCCTATTCCTAATTTTAATCATTGGAGAGTTTTTTTTACTCACTATCAGCAATATTGATCTCAATTGATTTTCTCATTGATAAGTAAAAAGAAGAATAAGCTAATTACTTAGGAGCTGGCCTATATAATTTCCAAACTTGGCCTTGCTTAACTAGGGCAGATGAAAGGTGAGTAGAAATATGTTATGTAGATGGGGAATTTAGTTCCTAACATCCCCCAGGTCAATTTCCCTTGCCTGACTCTGTTTAATAATTGGCTTAAAGTTTGGAACTGCTGTGCTGGGCATTTGCAACTAAGAGAATCCAATAAACTTTGCCCTCATTAAATATTTGTGCTTTTTGAAATGTCCTTACATTGCTCTTAATAGACTGTTAAAAACAATATTTTCATTCATTACCTCTGCAGTATTTTAATTTTTGTTGTAATTATTTTGAATTGCTTCCGTGTGGATTTTTAAAAATAAAATAATATACATTTGTAATAATAAAAAAGTTTGAAGTCAAGCAGGTGTGTGATGAGAAATCTGTAAACTTTGGACGGCAGGAGGAATATGATGTGCAATTTTATTTAAAACTTTCCTCTTCTATTCACACACCGCCCAAGAGTTTTACACGTCTCCCCCAAATGACATGATTCATAGTTTTGGAAATATTTCTCCTAAGTGAGGTTTTTTGTGTGATTTTCACGTGCAAAAGACCAGGTCCAGGTGTGAAGGTTCAATTAAGCTGTTTTATTGCTAAAAGTCTATGCACAAGAATCTTCTCAATTAATGGGTGACACTTGCTTAGAGTTAAATAAGGGTCATTGGCGTTTCAGGGGAGTTGGACTTTTTAATACTCTTGTGGCTATGTAAGGATTCTAGGTTGATCCTTTTTTAACTGCCCCCCAGGTTCTGTCTTCCCATTTCCTTTATCAATCAATGGTACCTAATGGAAACAATATAATTATTCTTAAATGATAGGCTGATTAGAATATTTCACCACCAGAGAACGATTGTGATAGATTTGCAATATCCTTATGGCAGCAGCTTTGTTATTGTAAAGGGTGAACCTAGATAAGCTGAGTCTGGCATCTCAGTTTAAAAGTTGTGAACCCTTTTGAAATTTCAGTATTTATGCATAAAAATAACCTGAAACATTTAAAACTTGATAAAGAGAACCCAATTAAACAAATGAATTAAAATGTATACTTCTTCAATTATTGAGTAAAATGATCCAATGTGTGTCAAAAGTATGAGAACCTCTAGGACAAGTAGGCAACCTTGGCTCTTTTATGACTTGTGGGCTTCAACTCCCAGAATTCCTGAGCAGCTATGGCTGGCTCAGGAATTCTGGGAGTTGAAGTCCACGAGTCATAAAAGAGCCAAGGTTGCCTACCCCTGCCCTAGCAGTATCAGTTCACTTAAAGGAGAAATTATAATTGGGTTTAGTCAATGGGATGATAATCAGGTGGGAATGTGGGAAGTGCTGCCTTATTTAAAGAACAGAATTCTGGGTATTCACTATCAAAGTCTGATCTTTTGGAACACAACTGTGTCATGGTTTAAAGAAAGGAGATTTTTGAGGACCTCCAAAAAGACGGGGATTTTTTATGATCAGGCTAGAAAACGTTACAAAACTTCTTCCAAAGAGTTTATTCCACTGTGAGACAGATTGTGTATAAATGGTGGCAATTCAACATCGTAACTTTCACCAAGACTGTTTGATCAACTAAGATCACTCCAAAAGCAAGGCATGTAATATACTCTGAGAGATCACAACCTCAGGATAACATCTAAGGAACTAAAGGCCTCTTTTGTATTAGCAAATGTCACCACCATCAGGAAAATACTAAACAACAATGGTGTGCATGGTAGAGTTGCAAAAAGAAAACTGCTACTTTGCAAAAAGAACATAGCTGCCCACTTACAATTTGCAAAACCACAGAAGGCTATTGGAAGAACGTTCTGTGGATGGATGGGACCAAAATAGAATTTTTCAGCTTCAGTGAAAAAGTATTATGTTTGGCAAAAGGCAAAAACTGCATTCCGGCACAAGAATCTTATCCCATCTATGAAACGTGGTGGCTGAATCCTGTTTCAGGCCTGCTTTATTACTTCTGGACCAAAGTGACTTTCCCATCATTGAATTTTGAACTGTACCAGCAAATTATACAGAAAAACTTCAGTGTATTTCTCTGTGAGTGAAGCTCAAGAGAAAGTGGATCATGCAGAAAGCCAATAGCCCAAAACACCTATCATTCAACCAAAGAATGATTAAAAACACTAGAAAGTTAATGTTTCAGAATGGCCAAGTCAAAGCCCAGATCCTATCCCTATAGAAATATGGTGGAAGGACCCGAAGCAGGCAGTTATTGTGAGGAAGCTCACCGACAGGGCTAAAAATCCTGATGTGTCGGATTGATCAAAAGTTATTGAAAATGTTTTGTGGCAGTTACTGCTACTAAAGGTGGGTACACCTCTTTTGCCACCCACAAATATGTAGCTTTGGATCGTTTTCCTCAATAGATAAATGAACGTGGTTTTTGACTTATTTGTTAAATTGGGTTCTCTTTACCTCATTTGACAAATCGCATTTTAGGTTATATTTAAGCAGAAATGGAACATTCAAAAGGTTTCACAAACGTTTGAGCTCCACAGAGGTAAAATCCTATACTTATGAGAGAATCAGTTTCTTTTATAAGAATTGGATTATATTTTATCGGCAGACTAGACAGTAGGTACTACTTTATTCCTAAGTAAATGGAGGTTTTTTTTTCCCTGCTTCAGTTTTTTTTTGTCTGCTTACAACATCATTGAAGGAAAGAAGCCTAGAAAATAATGAGCAAATGTGGAGAAATTTGCTGCTTCTTTAATGTTATTATCAAAGCTATAAGGGGGGGAGGCAGAGTAACCATCCTTTCTTCAATTGTTTCAAAGAGCTTATGATTGGAAAGCAAATAAACAGATCTCAATTGAGTTAAGGGGTGAAATCGGTGTGTTGGTGGAAAGAAGACATTATTGTACTTATTTATTTGCAATATTTGTATATGTCCCCAGGCATCAGTTTCTGGATAATGTAGCAAGTGTGTTAGATTTATTTCCCCTGGAAAATATGATTATCTGGAACTTCTGATTACAGAACTAGAGTTATCCCAGTTTCTTAACAGAGGTTGTAAAATTACAGTACTTCAGGCTGACATATATATAATACCCATTAACGTTCATTTGGCGTGTGTATCAGTGAGGATAATGACTCACATAGCAATAGTGGTCAAGCTACAATCAAGTGCATCTCTTCTGGATGTTGCCAATTATTGACAAAAGACACTTCCAAAATCATAACCTTCAGAGTCTTGGTCTTCACATGATTGATGCCATTATGTTGTGAATCGATAAAGGAAGCATACTTTAGCGATAATTCTCAGTACTATTTGTTATACAGCTGCAATGGGGGGTATCCTTTTCTGCATTGTAGAACTGGTTATCAGTTATTTCAATAACAGCTCATTATTGAGAAGAAAATGCACAGCTTCCAATCCAGCTTGGATGTCTGTTGTGTCAGTGAAATCAATATGGTCATGGGGGGAGGGGGGTAATTTTATTTCATTTGCGTGAGTGTTGGATTGTTTTGTTTGCTCCACAATTGCACTAGCTTGTGCTGTACAGTATGTTTATCTTTGCTTTACCTATGTATTTTTTTTCACTCAATAATTTTTGAACACCCAGTCTGTTACCTGAACATGCAATAGAAAAGGGTGGTGTATTCTCCCTGCCACCATCTGATCCAAATATAGCTTTTTGCAGTGCTTGGCATACATCAGGATGGGTTTCGTATATACACGGAGAGGCAACCAGAGACATTGGTTGAGTTACTGCCAATGTCTGTTATGCCTTTTACCTAAAGCTGGGATGTTGAATCTCTTGTGTCAGATTCGCTCTCAGTCTTTTGCACTGCTAAGCATATCCTGAATCACCGCAGCCTTAGGAATATTTCTTTATTTTTTATCCCTTCTCCATCCGCCTTCAACAATGAGGGAATAGCTTAGCAAAGTGTTTAAAGGCATTCCTTCTCTGCTGCACAAAAAACATGAAGATAGTTATTTTTCATGAATGAAGGAGAATATACGTGTCCCAGGACAATGTTGCTGGATCCAATCTGGGCTTGGAAGACAAAATCTCTGGTCCGGGTGACCGACTGAGATTGTATCCTGCATAGTTATTTTTCTTCAATTGCTGTGCAGAACAACAGGACATAAAAAAGATATCCACACATTTAAGTATCTTCGAAAGAAAGAGACTGGAACATAGTTTTGCTACTATTGTAGTTGGCTTCTTCACCAGTATTTTTGGTGCATTGAAGCTTCACATGCACAGCAGACAGGATGAATCATTTTCTCCTGATATCCAAATATCTGAGTCTTCTTTGAGAATGGAAACTCTGACATATGTCCTTTGCATATATTTGACCATTTTTTAATTTGATACACATTTTAATCTATTATACACTGACAGAGATGCACAAACACACAGAGTAAAATAAGCCACTTCTTTATGGGAGTACTTCCATCCATCAATTCTGGGTTTCTTTGTGCGGATTGTGTTATCCCCATTCCTTATGTTAAAATAAGCCACTTCTTTATGGGAGTACTTCCATCCATCAATTCTGGGTTTCTTTGTGCGGATTGTGTTATCCCCATTCCTTATGTTCTTGTGCTGATTTTTCTAATGCAACTAAAGATTCAGAGCCCTGGGATGTCCGCCCTCTGAGATAGGCCAGGCCTTGAAGTAAAGTAAAATAACAGAATCCTGAAAATGTGTCTCAAGTT